CCTTTTAAGCATTTTGTATGTAAAAGCGACAAAAAAAACATGTCGAGCTTCAGCAAGTTGCTCCCCTGTATATGTATAATTATCTGAGTATCATAGTTAGTACCATCTATATTTTTTTACATAGATGACCCTTTTGCAAGGCCCAGTGGATAGCATGTGTGACGTCACGTGATGCTGCACGTGAGCATGAGACGCACTGCCTCTTCCTCAGTTCACCAGTAGATCTACAGGCAACCGGACAGGCTAGGCTGGGCTCCCCTCTCACACTCTGCTAATATAAGTGTTACCACCCAACAACTTGTGCTTAACTCCAACCATCATATATCCATGAACCCTCTCAACATACTGTATATGCCATCTTTATATCAACAATGTATCTCTTAAATCTTTAGTATCATATAATGTAATAAAATATATCTATTGGTAAAAAATGAAAAGATGGGGCGGTAGGGGAAGTGGATTATTCAAGCGGCTTCAGGAAGAAATCCAAATATTCTTCCTTGAAGCCTTTGTATCCACTTCTCCAAGGCTATGGGTCCCACAATTTACACCAGAGGTGGAGGTGGACCCCATTAGTTGAGGGTGCAAAGCTTAATCCAAACCCTAGTGCTGCCTATTGATCACTCCTTAATTCCTTGCTAGAGAGGTTCATAACAAACTCTGGATTCGCATGTATGGTCCAACCACTCTGTGCTATGAGATTATTTAGCTTCCTATTATGATTGCGTTCGGCGTTTTGTCTGACTCTTTTGAGTTCCTTATAAATATAATCAAATTGGTGGGGTTTACAAGGTCCCGTGTACTCAGTGTCCTCTCTCATATATCGGTCAAACAGGTAAATTTCTGGAAGCCAGAATTGCCCAGCATAAATACTCAGTCAGGACAGGGCAGGAGTCGAACGGTATCTTTAACCACGTTAATGCATGTAATCACCCTCCGGGGTGGGATGCTGCCCAGATTATAGTACCAAACAGTTCTGTCAGGGAAAGAAACATAATTGAATCTTCCCTCTTGAAACATGAAAGGAATACAGTACACAACTCAAATTATGGGTTATAAGAGCTCGATAACTATTTAGTAGAGTCCATTGTACACAATCTTAAACAACAATGCTATACAAAATTACAGGATTGTTCATTATGCCAGGTGGTTGATGGATTGGTGATGCCCGACCAGTGTCTACGCACCAAAACTTCAAACCACTTCAGTTGTGATGGTTATATAACACCTGTAGCTGTTAATGTACCATACGGTGAAAAGCACACAAGATAACGAGATAACGTAAGGAGAGGTTAATGGGTATTAGTAGAATATTATCGGATAGCCATAGGAGTTCCCCATGTATGGCATATTAACCGACACTGAGAAAATAGTGGACAATATTCAGGAAGAACATTCGAGTACCCCAGAGCAGGACATTAAACAGACAAAGAACACATTGTATTTCTTTCTTTCATTATTTGAAAAGGTCACACAATGTAATAGTCTATAGTATCTAATGAGAAACTTATTTTCTCAAACCATATGACCTGTTATAAACGATTAGAAAAAGCTTAGGGCTGGCTTTTTATATTTTTTAATTTCCTACTTGACATCTCAGAAACCCTCCTACCCATATGGGTAGTAGAGGGATGATGGTAGGGTGAGGTTGGCACCGACCACTAACCCAGTCTAAGAGTAACCATGGACGGTGACACCTACGCTACTCTGAAACCTCTCTCCCTGCTTTGGTTGCTCCTTTGTAACATTGCACAGCTCCTGATGATGCATTGAGAAGTGTGAAAGTACTTGAGTTAAAGATTTACTCCCCATCCCTGGCATATATATATATTATTATATATATATATTTATTATTATATATATAATATATATATAATATATATATATTATATAATATATATATATATATTATATATATATATATATATATATATATATATATATATATATATATATATATATATGTCGTGCTGAATATGTAAAACTGGTCAATTAGCATGAACTCATTTAAAATTAAGTTCTTTTAAAATTTTCTCTTACACGTTTAAAGATATATTTTTTTCATTATTGTTGATGCAAAAATTTATAATTTTGCACCAAAGGAACTTAGAAAACTTACCTAACCTTATTATAACAAGAAGAATTTATTTTAGCCTAACCCAACTAAATATATTTTAGATTTGTTTACAATAATTTAATACTAAACAAACACAGTGAAATATATTTTTTTCTTGGGTTTTCGAATGATTTTGGCGAAATTTTCCATACACAAATTTCCCTTGACCTATAGGCAAGATGAGCGTTGTTATTAAGCAAGATCGCAATTCTGCCTATTCGCACGACATATACATATTTATATATTATAATATAATATATATATATATATATATAATATATATAATATATAATTATATATATATATATATATATATGTCGTGCCGAATATGTAAAACTGGTCAATTAGCAGAACTCATTTAAAATTAAGTCATTCTAGAATTTTCTCTTATACGTTTAAAGATATATTTTTTTCATTATGTTATGTAAAAAAATTTAATTTTGGCCAAAAGAATCTTAGAAAACTTACCTAACTTATTATAACAAGAACAATTTATTTTAGCCTAACCCAACTTAATATATTTTAGATTTGTTTTACAGTAATTTACTACTAAAAAAAACACAGTGAAATATATTTTTTTCGTTAGGTTCAAAATGATTTTGGCGAAATTATTGCATACACAAATTTTCGCTTGTCCTATATGGCAAGATGAGAGTTGCATTTAAGCCAAGATCGCAAGTTCTGCCTATTCGGCACGACATATATATATATATATATATATATATATTATAATATATATTATAATATATATATATATATAATATTTTTATATATATATATATAAAGGCTTGATTTTGATAACATATCTAATACTACAGTGTTACCTCGCATATCCGGGATGCCATTATCCGAACCTCGCCAATATCCAAAGAGGCCCTGGGAAAGGGCAAAATTCAAATTATTTACCGAAACTTCCGAACAGACGTTCGAATACGGCAGAAGGCTGAATCAAACTTGGTGAGCACTTTAGTGCACCGGTTGGCACCAGGAGCGCGTTCATCGACACCCCCCCATCCACGAAAGTCGACCCTCTGTGATATCAAGATGGTTCATGATAAGATTGTTGCATACACAGGAAAGTTTTCTTCCATCTCAAAAACCGAAAAAAATGCCGAAAGAAAAATGATGGCGAACCAAAGTTTGGAACTCGGTAAGTGTGTGATGAAGTGGTACCTACAACAACGTGTCAGTCCGACTTGGACCATTAACAAAGTCACACTAACGAAAAGGAGAGCAGGAAGGGTATATATAGGCAGGAAGTGGTAGTAGTAGTAGTAGTAGTCAGGGCCAGATTACCGCATAGGCAAACTAGGCATTTGCCTAGGGCCCCGCTCATTTGGGGGCCCCGCGGTCCAAGGGGTTCAGGGGCTCATCCAAGACTGCACACATGGTGCAAGTGCAAAGGGGTCCCTACCTAAAAAGTTCAAGTGTTTGGAGAGTAAAATTGATTTTTAAAAATTAATCAAAACAAAAATAAATAATGAAATAAAATAAAATAAAAATAAATAAACCGAACCATAGATGGCAACACTCAACGCGCCTTTGTTTACATCAGAACAGCTGTGTTTTCCCCCGCTAATGGGTGAGTAGGGGAGATTCCTCTCCAATTTTCGTAGTAATTACACGTTATCTAGACTTGTA